TAATTGTTATGGTTTGTTTGTTTGTTTGCTTGCTTGCTTCAATTATACCTTGCCTTTCTCACCCCCTTAGACTCGGGTGGCTTTCAACTGTCTGTATGGTTTCTATATGTTCCCTCTGTCTGTCTGCTTTCTATAGCACCAGTAAAGTAACCAGATCAATGCATCTTACTCAAAGTATAGATCAAGGATTCCTTTACCATATTAAATTTTCAGTCATTTTATCATCCTGCACATAAGTAATGAGTTGAATGTGGCCCATGAAGAAAGGCAATATCTGAGATCTTCCCTTGAGCTGTTTAATTGGGATTATTGTGCTTTTGGTACTTGGTCCTTGTTGTGTTTGTGCAGCCCTCCGTTTAGCCTTCTGGCGATTCCCAGACATTATGGATAAAGTAGTGTTCGCAAGGCTGTTGTCCCCCTCCCCCGGTGGACCTAGTTTAAAGTGCGTCTAATGAGTGCCAACGGGGGAGGGGGACAACAGCCTTGCGAACACTACTTTACCCATAATGTCTGGGAATCGCCAGAAGGCTAAACGGAGGGCTGCACAAACACAACAAGGACCAAGTACCAAAAGCACAATAATCCCAATTAAACAGCTCAAGAGAAGATCTCAGGGGCTCACATGTCTTTACACTAATGCACAGAGCATGGGAAATAAACAAGACGAACTCCAACGTTTAGCACAACACCACAAATATGATATCATAGGGATCACTGAAACCTGGTGGGATGACTCCTATCGCTGGAATGTAGATATCGAGGGGTATAACCTCTTTCACAGAAACCGAACAAAGGGGAGAGGAGGCGGAGTAGCCTTATATGTCAAAAACTCTTATGCTGCAGAAGAGATTCAAGACAGCAATCTGGGAAACCAGCTTGAAATCATCTGGATAAGAATCAAGGGAACTGGGACTCAAAAAGATGTCGTTGTAGGCGTCTACTACAGACCCCCAAGCCAGGAGGAAGAACTTGATGAAGTCTTCTGCCAACAGTTGACCAAACAGGCACAGAAGAGAAAAAGGGGTGGGTTGGGGGGGGGGGGGGAGTTTTTGTAGTAAGGTCAATGTTTGCGTGTGTTGCAAAAACAATACTCGCCCGAGATATATTGGCGGTTAAGAGGACACACCAGTCGGGCGAACAAGAAGTAACAAATAGGTCCAGAGGGGGGCAACATGTACGTCCAACAAATTCCTCACGCTTGCAGACAATTTCATGGTCCAGAAGGTAGAAGAGGCTACAAGGGGATTGGCTACTCTTGATCTCATCCTAACAAATGTGGAGGACCTGATCGATGTGGTTGAAGTGGTAGGATCCTTAGGGGCAAGTGACCATGTGCTCCTGCAATTTGAGGTACAAAGGAAGGCAGAAACTAAGACAAGTCAAACCTGCATTTTGGACTTTAGGAGAGCTGATTTCCAAAAAATGAAGGAAACGCTGAGCAGCATTCCGTGGACACAGATACTAAAAGACAAGGGAGTTACGGATGGATGGGAATTTCTCAAGAGTGAAATACTCAAGGCGCAATTGCAAACCGTGCCAACAAAGAGAAAAAATAGGACAAGTGCAAAGAAGCCAGAATGGATGTCCAAAGAACTTCTAACTGTGCTAAGACACAAAAGAGGCATGCACAAGAAGTGGAAAAAGGGAGAAATCACCAAAGAAGAATTCAAACAAATAGCCAACACCTGTAGGGAAAAGGTCCGCAAGGCTAAAGCAAAAAACGAGCTCAGACTTGCCAGGGACATTAAAAACAATAAAAAGGGCTTCTATTCTTATGTCAGTAGAAAAAGGAAAAACAAGGAGGCGATAGGACCTCTTCGAGGAGAAGATGGGGCAATGCTGACAGGGGATAGGGAAAAGGTAGAACTACTTAATGCCTTCTTTGCCTCGGTCTTCTCACAAAAAGAGAGTCTTCAACCTCAGCAAGATGGAGTGGATGAGGGATTGGAGGACATCCAACCCAAAATTGGTGGCCGCTCTTAATGAGTTCAAGTCCCCAGGGCCAGATCAACTACACCCAAGAGTACTGAAGGAACTAGCGGAAGTCATTTCGGATCCATTGGCAACCATCTTTGAGAGTTCTTGGAGAACGGGAGAAGTTCCAGCAGATTGGAGGAGGGCCAATGTGGTCCCAATCTTCAAGAAGGGAAAAAAGGATGACCCAAACAACTACCGTCCGGTCAGCCTCACGTCGATACCGGGCAAGATTCTGGAAAAGATTGTTAAGGAAGCGGTCTGCAAACACTTAGAAACAAATGCAGTCATCGCTAATAGTCAACATGGATTTATCAAAAACAAGTCATGCCAGACTAATCTGATCTCTTTCTTCGATAGAGCTACAAGCTGGGTAGATGCGGGGAATGCCGTGAATGTAGCGTACCTGGATTTCAGTAAGGCCTTCGACAAGGTCCCCCATGACCTTCTGGCAAGGAAACTAGTCCAATGTGGGCTAGGCAAAACTACGGTGAGGTGGATCTGTAATTGGTTAAGTGGACGAACACAGAGAGTGCTCACCAATGCTTCCTCTTCATCTTGGAAAGAAGTGACAAGTGGAGTGCCTGCAGGGTTCCGTCCTGGGCCCGGTCCTGTTCAACATCTTTATTAATGACTTAGATGAAGGGCTAGAAGGCATGATCATCAAGTTTGCAGACGACACCAAAGTGGGAGGGATAGCCAATAGTCCAGAGGACAGGAGCAGAATTCAAAACGATCTTGACAGATTAGAGAGATGGGCCAAAACTAACAAAATGAAGTTCAACAGTGACAAATGCAAGATACTCCACTTTGGCAGAAAAATGAAATGCAAAGATACAGAATGGGGGACGCCTGGCTCGAGAGCAGTACGTGTGAAAAAGATCTTGGAGTCCTCGTGGACAACAAGTTAAACATGAGCCAACAATGTGATGTGGCGGCAAAAAAAGCCAATGGGATTTTGGCCTCATCAATAGGAGCATAGTGTCTAGATCTAAGGAAGTAATGCTACCCCTCTATTCTGCTTTGGTTAGACCACATCTGGAATATTGTGTCCAATTCTGGGCACCACAATTCAAGAGAGATATTGTCAAGCTGGAATGTGTCCAGAGGAGGGCGACTAAAATGATCAAGGGTCTGGAGAACAAGCCCTATGAGGAGCGGCTTAGGGAACTGGGCATGTTTAACCTGAAGAAGAGAAGGCTGAGAGGAGATATGATAGCCATGTATAAATATGTGAGAGGAAGCCACAGGGAGGAGGGAGCAAGCTTGTTTTCTGCTTCCTTGGAGACTAGGACGCGGAACAATGGCTTCAAACTACAAGAGAGGAGATTCCATCTGAACATTAGGAAGAACTTCCTGACTGTGAGAGCCGTTCAGCAGTGGAACTCTCTGCCCCGGAGTGTGGTGGAGGCTCTTTCTTTGGAAGCTTTTAAGCAGAGGCTGGATGGCCATTTGTCAGGGGTGATTTGAATGCAATATTCCTGCTTCTTGGCAGGGGGTTGGACAGGATGGCCCATGAGGTCTCTTCCAACTCTTTGATTCTATGATTCTATGATTCTATGATCTGGAAACATTAATTTAATAAGTTTGTATTTTCTTCATGTTTCTAGGTCTATACTGAAGAACAACAAATGACATAGGGAGGAGGGAGCAAGCTTGTTTTCTGCTGCCCTGGAGACTAGGACGTGGAACAATGGCTTCAAACTACAGGAAAGGAGATTCCACCTGAACATTAGGAGGAACTTCCTGATTGTCAGAGCTGTTCAGCAGAGGAACTCTCTGTCCCGGAGTGTGGTGGAGGCTCTTTCTTTGGAGGCTTTTAAGCAAAGGCTGGATGGCCATCTGTCAGGGGTGCTTTGAATGCAGGGGGTTGGACTGGATGGCCCACAAGGTCTCTTCCAACTCTATAATTCTGTTTCTATGATTTTTCCATTCAACTGCATTTCTTTATGCCTATTTTTTAAACCCATCCAAACGCCTTAAATGAAATGTGTCATCAAAAGTCTACCTTTCCTATTATTATTTTCTGGAGTGCTATGTGACATTTAAACGCTTTTCAGACAACTTGAACAACTGACCTATTCCACTTTTCTGAAATATGTTAGTTGTTCAATCTGTCTGACATCCCAGGATTCTAGAGATCCTGAGATGTCTTGGAAATTTAGTGAAAATTTAGTTCATTGGGGAGTTGTTCAGTAATGACAGGCAAACTTACACAAAAGATAAATTGCTCACAAGTGCTAAAACTATATTTAGATTTTTGCAATAGAGTGTAAATTATACCACATTGCCAATGCATATAAGACAATGATGAATTCCAAGTGGTGAATATCTGAAAAAATGTCATCAAATCTTCTACTAGACTCTACCATCCCAATGAAAAATACATATGAATTTTTAGCAGACATAACAAAATTTAAGATTCCCAAGAGGTGAATGTGTGAAACCCACTGATTTATCTGAAACAGACTATTGAATGCTATCTTCAGATACATATGTATAGGCAATCCTAAGATATAAACTACGGAAAGATTAGCCATTCCTACACTTCCACACACATTGCATGTTGCCGCAGCAGAACTGATAAAGTTTGATCCCTCAAACTTTCATCAGCATATTGCTCCATTTGATTTCTTATTATTATGTTATCAAACTACTTGAGAGACAGACCAGAATTGTCTGGAACAAGGTTTATATCTAAGAAATTGCTGTCTTCAGAACAGTTCCTGGCTGTGAAGAGATAAGGACTTGCTTTGTACCATCTCACCACAGTATTGTATTTAAACAGTAGGGCATCAGAAATGTGATACAATTTCTCTGTTATATTTTCCTCCAGCAGAGCATTAATGTCATTTAGTGTTCAGACCCATGAACACTTCTTTCCTTCAAAACATTTATATAAACTGAGAAGAAGAGCACGGGGAGCTATAAAATTGGAACTCTAAAGTTGTGGAACAATTTTAAAGACAAAGCATTCATTCAGCGTAGGGGTCACAAATAGTGTTGCAATATTATTTCTCACCTACCTGACTCTCTGGAAAGTTGTATGAAGGATTCCACGCCCTTTTCCCCATAACTTCCTTCAGAAGCCAACGTGGAGACATAATTCCACCTCAAAGCTCTCACTATGTCCACCATTGCCTGTGCTTGGAAAGAATCTGGAGGAACCACCCGTGAGAAGAAATCGTAGCGTCTGTCGTCACTTAATTCTGGAGCAGTTGAAGCATAACTGATTTGGGGTATCTGCAGGGAAAAGAACAGTTATCTGATGTTATAAATTGGTAAATTCAACACACACACATACACATCAATTAGCTTGAGCTGTAATACAATTAGTCTTCCTAGTGCCCATCTGTTACTTTCTATCTCCATCAGTGCCTAAGTGAAAGTCAATGAAGCCATCATTCAAATGATTTTCATTATGTGAATACTAATTGGCCAATTAAACTATTATCAGTACTGCCCTCATCCAAAACTTTCATGAACTTTTTATAAAGAATAAATTATGACACCTAGAACTAGTTGCAGAGATAGGCCTGAAGTAAGCTTAGCCTCAGAATAAAATTTTGCAGTGTTTGATGATTACAGTTATTTGATCATAGGCTTCTTCAATAATTTCTGGGGGTTTTTTCTGTTTATGAACATCTTTGTTGATCTGCCTTTTGGCTATTTTATGTTTAAACCACAGCAACATATAGCTGCATCCACAACTTATGCTTTTATGTATCTCATCTGCAAACATTGTGATGCTGTGAGAAGACCAATTATAAGTCTGTCTGTTAATCTGCTATCTGAATTGTTTTTTTTTAAAAAAATGTTATATTTACAAGTATTTTAATTCATTTCAAATCAAAGCAATAGTCTGATGTATAGAAAAAAGGATGCAACAATGGATATTGAGGCATTTTGACCCCTTATCCACAGGGTCAAGAACCTCCACAATAGCCTGAAACTGCAGATAACAAACTTTCTATTTTGACAATACTTGGTCCAGAAGGGTACCATAGAATCTCATTGGAGGACCTCATGAGGTCCCCAAACACTTCTAGGGAGAATATTTTTGGAGCATAGATACTGAATCCATGGATAAATGAGTTATACTGTACATAGTTCACCAGATAAGTCATAATATGTCTTTACAAATTATTACTTCATAAAAAAGTGTTCCAGTTACGATAATGTACCAAACTTTTTGGCTCTGCTGCTGGGGAACCTATAATTGCTTTCTAAAATAAAACTTTAAATAAACCAAAATCAAACTATTTCAACATCATCTGAATTCCCTTCTTTTTGTCATATTTCATTTGACAGGTTAAGTTTCTCAGAATGGTTATCAATAATAACCTGTTCACCCATGCCCTTAGCGATAGGTTTTGCCACAATTTTCACACTCAGGTGATTCAGTCTCCAAACACGCAACCAGTTGTGAATACCAGGGTTTGTTTTTTTTTTAGTAAAATATATAAGGTATTGCCAAGGGGCAATGAAGGGCACTGAAATGCTGAATAGCAAACAATGAAATCCTAGACACATCTTTGACTTTTTGTTTTACACCAGAAATGGCCATTTGTATTCAAGTTTTTTCTATTTATACATAAGGGCTAGATTTTTTTTCTTTTTTGTCAAAGGAAAAAATGCTGAATTTGATGATTGTGTATGCTTTCATCAACATTTACATGCTCATAAGAACCCCTCTGAGTTTCTAAACATTTCACAAACTTTTCCAGCATTTCGCAACTTACTGAACCTTATTTAGTTGAACAGCCTTTATCATGTTTTGCATTGGCAGTGAGCTCATCACACTGTCTTCTGAGTTATCTTGCACCATACCTACACAATTCAGCACTTCTGCAACTTTCACCAAACAGAAATTCACAGATTTCAGACATAACTGTCAAAGTAGTTCTACACTTAAGAAAAAACCCATTCCTCATTTCTACTTCTAACCCTCCTTGTATTTGCTTCTAGGTATGCAACAGAAACCAGAATGAACCACCAGAAACTAAAACATGAGAATACTTCCTATTCACCAAATAAGTCAGTATCGCTGCCATATACTTTTGTCTATTCTTGACAGGTGAAGAAAAGCAAATAAAGGGGGAGGGGAAAGAGAGAGAAAGGAAAGCAAGTAAACTTTACAGCAGTGGTTCCCAATCTTTTTTTGACCAGGGGCCACTTGAGCAGGGACTACTTGACCAGGGACCACGTTGACCAGGAACAGCTCTCCAACATTAGTACCAAAAGAGTTATGAATCAGTTTTTGGTCAACTTTAGATTCGGTTTGAGGTGCTGATTCAGAAAATTGCATTGGATAAACCACATCAGGTCTAGCTTCTGCTACAGAACATATGCTATGGTCAGCGACAGGAAAGAACTGGCAGGCGGCACAAAAGGAGTGGAAATAAAATAAATAAAATATAATAAATAAATAAATAAAGAGGAAGGAAGCTTGCGGACCAGATTTTCATCCTCGTGGCCCACAGGTTAAGAACGACTGCTTTACAGGAATATGCCTTTAAATCTGTACATCTGCAGAACCCTTCGTTCACCAAGAGTGTGCCAGAGTTTTCATCCTTGCCTTTTTCAGAACCCTTCATTCACCAAGAGGGTGCCAGGGTTTCCATACTAGTCTTACATTTGAAATATTATTTCTCTGTGTCCCTTTGTCACATTAATGGCAACTCTCTTCCTCCCCCAAATGCATGTGGGAATAAGTCTGTGTATCATTTCTTCACTTTGTAGCATTAACTCTGGGAGAATTTTGTTCCCTAGAATATTTCTAAAGCAATGAAAGGAGGGGGGTTAGAAAAAGAAATATTGTTGCACTTTTTTCTCTCTCCCCCCCCCCTTTCCTTCCCCCCTCATATATGGTAATGCCACCAGTTTTGTCTAATGTTTTCTGCAAACTTTGCAGGAAACTTTGCAAGCTATGTCAAATCATCTTTATTCCTTAAAAGATATTTGTTTTCCTAGGCAAACAGTCACTATCTCACATGCACATAGCAAACAACATCTGTGCCCATCAGCTTTAAATATATATGTGTGTGTGTGTGTGTAACAGACGATTCAGATATTTTTTTAAAAATACTCCAGCTCTAGAGCAATCAGGTTGCAGATGAATGCTAAGCTGGAATGCAGAGCAGATTTTATACCTGCAAATAAAGCAGCTAATAAATGTCAACATGAAGAAGACACTTAGACATATTGGAACTTACATCTGCCTGAGATCTCAATGCATGCATAAATTTAGCTCTTAAGGGACTTTTCTGACAGAACTGAAACTATGAAACATTTTTTTCATATATTTGTTGAGCAACTATGGAATAATGAAACTAGACACATAGAATTTGATTGAAAAGGGCAATTTTATTTAACATAGGACCCATTTTAACAGAATTGAACTTGTAAAGGAGCAGAAGGGGGCAACAACCTGGGAAAGGAACAGATGACATAAGGAATCAATCCATAGCTTTCTTTAAAAAGAGAAACTCAAAGCTTGTGTTGCTTCCCGTCTCACCGTCTACTGCAAGACAGATCTAATGAACCCCACCCCTAAGTCACAAGACTTAGGGGAGGGCAAAGTCTTCATGCAACTCCAAGAGTGCTCATCAACATTTTTTATTTTTTCAGAAAGGAAGATTTACAAATATGAGGCTGTCGGGCAATTTTCTTCTGTAAATGAACTAAAACCAAACCAAACCTAGGTGTATTCAGTGGAAATTAATGTCTCAGACTTTGTACAATAAAGGCAGTCAAGAGCTAGCAATGATCCTGGAGGTACTAAAAGTGTTTCAGTATACCCTGTTTCATCACTGAAATTTTGATCTTCTCTGTTTTTACCTCATGGCATACTTTGTCCTTTCGTTTGCGAGGTAAATTTGGGTTATGGTGGGAGGATGAGGAGGACAGGGGAAGAATGCTGTGGACAGCTACTGCTAAACTGAGCTAATTATAAACAAAGCCAAACTTCAACAGAAATCTGGCAGTATTCATAATCGTTTCAAATTCTCAAAGCTGGAAGAAAGTGTTTCCAAGGGATTCCAGCTACAAATGCTGGCAATCATTCCTAGCAGAAAACACTTTTTTAAAAAAATGTGAAAAAAAATACTCCTTTCTTTGAAAGTTAACAGAAAAACCCAATTTTATTACTTTAATACCTTATACAATTGGCCCTCCATTTCCATGGATTTTTCATCCACAGTTTCAACAATCCATGGCTTTAAAATATTCCAAATAAATAAATAAAAGTCCAGAAAATAAACATTGGCTTTGGCATTTTATATAATGGACTCTATTGTAGTATGAGTTGTATATAATGTGACTTGAGCATCCATGGATTTTGGCATCCACAGGGGATTCTGTTACCAAACCCCACGGGATACCAAGGTGCACTGTACACATAGGCAGAATACACACACAATAGTGGATATTAATATGGTACAACATAGATAAGCAGAAAGAAGCCCACTAAAGGTGCAAGGTGTGTCACCAAAAAGGAAATAACAAAAGGTATTAAGCTCTCATGAAAAGGAAATAAAATAAAAAGTATTCATCTTCCCAGCTTGCTTCCATATATGAACCAATAATTGTGGTTTAAAATCAACTAGTTAATTAAGATGGCATATGAAAAATCCAAGAGTTTATAATTCACTTTTTTAAATACTATAGCTAGATCCATCTTTAGCACTATGTGTGAATACTCCTACAAAGAACTTCAATCAATTTGAACAAAAATACTTAAAACTCCTATTTAGTTAGAGAAACCATTTCAAAATAACTTTATTTTAACTCTACAGGTCCCAAGAGACAGCGCCAATGCTACTTTTCCATACTGCTGCATTATTTCTATACTTATTATTCTAGATGTTTGCACCAGTCATATGATTCCCAATGTGCTTTTGTCTGAGAGACTAAACCACAAAAAGTGATTTATGAAGCTTAATTGGCTCTCTTTTTAAAGCTCTCTTTCTACACCATTTTATGTGGTGTACACCTTTCAAAATTAAGGTTAAAATCCATAAACCACATAGCAAAAATCAGATTCCCTGAAAGTCTTTCAAACTATTTTGACAATAGACCAAACTATTTCGAAAAAAATCACAAAGCTTAAGAGTTTTCAAACTTTAAACCTAAATAGGTGGGACTGAGTTTGTTTCCGCAAGTAATTGTCCTACTTTCTCAAAAATAAATAAAAAACCACACCAATAATTAGATGCTGGTGGGGAGAGACTTCACCTAATGCT